GAGACAGAAAGACATGCACACACAGTCCCTCTGTCTGTCTCTGGTGTAGTTCCTGTGGCTGACATGAACATTTTATTTCTGTTTTTTTAGTCAGAAATGTCTAAGGCGTACTTTGGACTGAGTCCTCTCAAATTTATTTTCCACAGACAGCATTGGTAATTATAATTTACTGGTTCTCACAATGTATTTAGTGTTCGTCTCTAAAACATAGAGAACAGAGTCTAAGTCTATCAGACAGTGAAAGCTTTGGCTGAACACTATAGAAGTACGAAAAACTCATTATAAGGAAGGACTGGAATGAAGAAAACTCAGTCATCAGACTCCGAAGAAAAAGCAAAAAGAAAAACTGAAAATGAGGCTTTTATGGGGAAAAAATAATAAATAAATAAATAAGCAAAGGGGATGTTTAGATATGGATGACTCAGGTATTGCATAGGTCTAGGAATCAGAAAATGTGAAGAAAATAATGTGAAAGTGTGGTGTAGCTTTCCAAAGTTTCCAAGTTTTGATAACAGGCTTATGTGTGGCATTGGAATTTACTAGAATCTGCTGGAGGTGTCTGAAAGAGCGAAGTGATGAGGACTTGATTTGTATGGGAATAAACTGGACTTAGAAGAACTTTGTATACAGCAGAGAGAAGTGTGATGAGATGCAAAGTTCAAAAAGGCAGAAGCTGTAGTAGCTGAGGTGAAAGATTACAAAGTGCACGGTGTGGTTTTGATTAAAGTAGAACATACAAATTTTACAGATGCCTCAGAAGTATGAAAGGCCAATAGATTTCTATACCAGATTAAAAGAGAAGTAAGAGAGATCTTCAATCTGGCATTAAAGGCTTGTTTGCACAAGGACAATCTAAAAACAAAGACATTTACAAAATGGAAGAATTCAGAACACAGTGAGCCTGTCAGTAGTAGTGCTCAAGTAGAAATAAAGGGAGTTTAGCTTTCATTTATTTAACCAGCTTCCAAAGGGAATGGAGATATTCCTTGGCCATAGCTAGAAAGTGACAAGGCCCCTACAGCAGAGGGGTTGTGTCCCTGCTCTTATGTGGGTGGAGAGAGGAACATGTCTTTCCAGTATCGTGCATGGATAAGTTCTCCAACCAGTAGGGTTTAGATGATGAGGGAATCGCTCTGCTGTCTTTGTGAGCATCACCTGCATCTTCTAACCTCTTAATTTCAAATTCCCCTTCCTTTTCTTAAAAAAACAAAAACAAAAAAAACAAAAAACAAAAACAAAAACAAAACCTGAAAAGCCAAATGTCATTGGTTCACTTAGAAACTAAACTTTGTTTTATTGGAAGTGTGAAAATGTTTCATTCTTGGTTTTACCACAGGTTCTTTCCCTACTCCCCCTTAGCCACCAGGGAGCATCAAAAACTACTTGCCCACTCTCCAGAGAGGTGATGTGAGAAAGAAGGAGCCACCACTCGACCCTCCCCAGTATGTGTGCCCACATATGCCTTCCCCCAGGAAGAAATGTGATTTCCTCTCTACAAGAGGTATGAATGACCCTAAAAATTCAGCTGTGTGCTCTGCAGTACATGTAAGATAAATCTGCTGACAGCACCGATTAGAGCAGATTCCCTACCCAAGCTGAAAAGTAACTAAGGGATTAAAAATGTTAACACCAGGTCTCCTATAGTGGATAAGCTATGGAATTCTTTTGTTTGCTCCAGCAGCGAGTGTGCATAAACTGTTCCCGTCTGAGCTGAGGAGGAATATTGGCAAGTAGCAGAATTGTTCCTTGTAAGAATAGGGGGTATCTTGAAATTCTTTGAAATCTGGAAAGCCAGAGGAAAGTTTTTGAGCACACCCACTACATCTAGTGTTACTTGCAAAATCTCAGTTCAGTTTATGCGTTCTGTTTCTTAACATTCTCTCGGAGAGACTGGTTCAACTAAAGCCTGCACTAAATTCCAACAGCAAGACACTGTATATAAATGCTTAGCTGATGACATTGGATCATCTGGGTCTGAACAATATCACTATTGGAGATCTGCTAAGTGATTATGCTGTGGCAAACATAAACAATGCTGGAGACTATTCTAGCACATTGAGCAAGGAAAGCTGAGACACACAACCCACACGACCGAGAGCTTTCCTAGGAGGTGATTAATGCAAACCCTGAGTCATTCAGAGTAATAAACCTTTCCTAAAACAGTTTTTTGTTTTGTTGTGGTTTGTTTTTATTTATTTTAAAGAAATCTTAGAAGGTAGACTTTACGAGGAACAATAAGGAGTTGTTATTTCCCAGTCAGCCTGCATATGCCACTCCAGCTCCTATACCAGTAAAAAAAAAAATAATAATAATAATGAAAACTTTTTATGACATGCAAAGCTTCAGCCCAAAAGCCAGTATCCCTTCAAAATGCCTGATGGTTTGCATATCACTTTGAAATGGCATTTCTGACTCAGGAAATCAGAGAAGAGAGGGAAATATCTCTCAAAGGGGCCTGTGCAGTGATCACTCTTTGTTCGGGTATAAGCAATTTTTCAGGTAATGTCCAAAACCTGGCTGTAAAGTACAAACATGAGGACGTTTAGATTGAATGCCAGAACTTAACCTATGATACCACTTAGCTTGACCTATACAAAATGCCAAGGCACTCATTCTTTAAAACCTACGGTACATGGGAACAGGGAAAACTTTCAGCTTCACTCAACTGCAGCATGCTTGTTTATCTGAAATTAAGCTAAACATTAAATGTTATTTGAATAAATCTTTTTGTACCTTAAATTTAACTTCAAACTCCAACTGAGTAACTCAGCCATAAGGAATTGAATGCTCTATGCAGTTCCTTTCTGCCCCCTTTCTTTCAACAACTTGTCTGTGAAAAGGCCAGTTTTCTGGAAATTATTCAAGTCATTCAAAAATAATTGTTAGCCTTTAGCTTGTCCATAAAATTTTCCCTGCAAAAGTTTCCTCTTTCTCAAAGGATTTATTAGGAAAAAGATATAAATAGAGTAGATAAATAGACACAATTTTCCCCTTCTCTTGCTATTGTGGGATCTTCTTGTAACTCGGATACCATGCTAATAGGTCTCAAGGGCATGGAGACACTCTTTTAAGGGAATGTTAATTCTTTATACAATTGTTGAGCTTGTTACCAGATTCCTGAGCTACTGGAAGACTCATGCTATGCCTATGTTGATTTCCTTCTGAAGCATGGCTGCTCAGAAAATAACAAGCAGGCAGTGTACTGTTTTCAGAAAGCTTCCCGGAAAACAGGGCCTCATCTTAAGCAATAACAATGAGACAATGACTCCATTCTTTCTCTGGTTTCAGCCCATCATTGCAAAGCTGACAATCTAGTCATCAGGAGAACTTGATAAGCTCATATATGAGATACCCTGGAGGCATCTGGAGTGACTGTCAGGAATGGGTGAGGAAGGGCTGAAGCTACTTGCCTCTACTAAGCATCCCTAGAGATGATGTGTTTCGGGTAAGACAGAAGAACATGTAGACAAGCAGTAAAAGGACATTCCCCTTCACTTTGCCCCACTCTAACCATGAACATTGACTACATGCTTTTTCAGAGAAGCTGTGCAGTCACTCAGCCATATGTAGCAGCTAGAGCCATGCAGGAGGGTACATGGTCACTGCTGGTGCCCAGACCAAGGCTTTCCTCAGGAAAGGAACCATTCCCACTAGCATCCCAGATGTCCTCAGCCAGTTGACATGAACACTTGTAACCTACACTCTTCCTGACAGGAAAGGGAGGGATGCAACTCACCCTTTATCACTGCAGCACTGGCATCTTTGCATGCAGGAAAGTCATGGCAATGATTCCAGGTTTGCTGTTACAAAGCTGGGGTCGCAAAAGTTTATATCCAAAAACTGAAGGCTGTTTAGTAGGCAGTGGTAGTGAATGCTGCAAGTTATGATGTTGATTTTCCCAGCATTTCCCAACTTGTGCCCTAGTAGTACCATAGGTCTTCATGGATATTTTTTTGTTTTGTTTTGTTTTTAATATTTCATATGAATTTGCATCACATAAAGAATGTTTATGGCCCAATATGGTTCATGCTAAGTAAAAAACAAAAATATAATGTGTTATCCTGCAACTTAAAAATGAGGGACCTTGTACTGAAGAAGTGACAAACTGTCAAAATTTCCTACAAACTCTTTTGACCAATTTTATTTTTCATTTTTTATTTTTTTTAGTTTAACTCATTTTTTCCTCAAGCAAATTGAGGAAAACACCAAACACCAAACTCTCAGACTCCAAAATTCTTCAGGTGTTTTCCCTGAATTCCTGTGGCTGTGATGGTTTTTTGATAGCTGTATCCATGGAAACTAGAAAGCAGAATTACAGTACTGGACACTTTCAGGAGTTTTACTTCTATTTTAATTTTGTTTTGCTAATTCATGGCAGTTTTAATAATGCACTGAAATGAGCCCTGTCAAAATAATGTTGGACACCTGGAACAAAAGCCCGGACCTGACTTCCATCAGAGATTTCACGTATGTGTTGAAAAACTGTTTTCAAGAAATAGAATAGGCATTAACACATCATGCTAGTCTTGTACACCATGCAACATGATACAGCAATTGTCTACAAGCAGTTTTATCTATGCTGAGAATTCTGCATCACTTTCAGAAATAATTCTCTTCCAACAGTGAGAACTTGAAAGAAGCAACCATTGCCTTATAATTTTCTTTAATATGGAGATGGTTTTACACTACATATAATATTCTTCTCTTTCTCTTATTTTAGAAATAATAAATGCCTTTAAAATGTTCCTCTCCATAACCTTTCCATAGTCTCCTGTGCATGTGTTGTTCAGGCAGATAACAGATATGTCTTAAGAGAGGACCTTTGCTCAAGCGCTGATCCTAGAAAGCAGCAAGTGTGGGAAGTGATATTTTTCATTGGGACTGAACAGTGAGATAAAAATACTTAGCTGTTGGACGTAATATGTGGGATTGGGATATGATTCAATTTAACATATTTAATAAGTTTTACAATGCTTTTAATTAGGACATATTTAATACACCTCAAAAGGCAGGAATTACTAAAAAGACAATTTTCCAATTACTGATTTCCACAGGAATCAGAAATACATTTTGTACCTTCACAGAGGTCTTAGTAAATGCTTGGAAAATAGCTATTATGAAATAAAGTATTAATAAATGCCAAGGGGTATTTATGTATAAATGCAAAGGTTTTTATATGCTTTTTAATTTAATATGAAGTTACAATAAAAAAAAAAAAAAGAATAGTTACACGTTGTGCACCTCTAAAGACTTTTTATTTACAAAACTCACATTATAAGCACTTCATTTTAATTAAGTTGCAATCCCTACATTAAAAAGGCTTAGATAAGGCTTTTAAGTGGACTTAACTGAGTCTATTCAGTTTGTGCTGTTTGTGCTGTCTGTTCAGTCTGTACTCATCATTTTGTGCCATATCTGAGACGATCTCTGAGAACATCTTGGTGAGAGTTTTGGTACTGACTCTAAATTGTTCTTCATTGTCTTCGTTGTGTGGTCTTCAGACATGTCCTGAGGATGGTCCCAAACCTGCAAGGGTCAGCATGCACCTTCCTCATAACTGCAAGTCTTTTGACTGGGAAACTTCTACCAAGCACCAGCGTGTCCCATGGCCCCGCTCTGCCCAGGAGCTCCTACCTGGAGAGCAGGAAGGAGCAGACTGCTGATCTCCTGGCCTGGGGACACCAGCCCTGGTGGAGAATTTCACTGGGGTGCCATGGCTCCCAGTCACTCTTTACCTCCAGCTGTGCTTTGGAGGTGCTGACCAAGCTCTCAACCCTGTGAGCCATGGTATGCAAGCCATCTTCCTTTTTCTGTTTCTGGGAGATTTTTGACATCTGAAAGCTTCCAGTTTTCTTATTGGAGAGCCACAGCTCATTTCCTCTTTCATGCATGTTCCTCTCACTGTTCCATGTCTTGCTTCATGGCTGTGTTGTATTTATTTCAAGTCAGGGCTTTTTTACCCATTTTCCAGGGTTCATTCTTCCTCTTTCATTTATGGTTATAGAAACTGTTCTTAAGAATAATCCCAGTTTGCTTATGTAAAAGACATGGGTTTGAAAAGGCTGTCTAATATTCCCAAAGCAAAATGTTTCCTCATACTGCATCACTCTAGAGGAAAAAAGCAAACAGGTATGGAAAAACAAAACAAAACAACTAATGCTAACTAATTTTCTGCCACATGTGGGGGCTGTGCCCCATGATGCTATTTAGAATTGACCTTGTGAGCAGTGAGGTAGGGGTGTTTTTCCTTGCAGATTTATCTCCATGTTTGTTCCCAGGGTTTTGTGGAGCTGTCTGTCTAGAATTTCCACATTATAAATGGCTCTTGTTTTGGTAAAGTTTGAATTATTTTCATTAGCTGGTCACCTGGGGCCTGACCAGAGTCAGGCTAAAAACTTCAGACAAGCACTACAGCTTTTGCAATCAGTCTCAGTCTCTCTCTCCTGTCATCCCCAAGGAAATGAAAGGCAGAAACGTTTACGCTTCAGGTTAATGTTTTAGAAGTGTTTGAGGCAGGAAGCAAATGGACTTATTCATAAGTTCCTCAAGGATGTTTTGTTTCAGTCATGAGGGTTGAAGCTTTCCTGAATAAAGGCCAGCCAGCAAGAAGTGACCAGTGGCAGGGTCTGCCTCTGGGACCTGCTCCAAGAACTAGGCACCCAAGGGGACTTGCCATTCAGATTCCTTCTTACAGTGCATGCCTAGCTTTGGAGATGACTTTGGGTGCTAAGCTTTGACTGGGATTAGTATAAATCTCATTCTAAAAATATACACTAAGATATAACTTTCTTAGGTTTGACTAGGAGCGACTGGAAATGTCTAGACCCATACAAAAATTATCTTATGTGTGTGAAAGGAAAGAGCTGGAAGACACCCATCTCATTTACACTGAGGATGAGACATCACTTTGATTGCAGAAGGGATCCTTCTGGAGGATGCTTACTTTTGAATATCCCATCACACATAAATATGCCTAACTTAAACATGCAACTTGCTCACTGTTATTTCCTGTGGGAAAATGCACCATTCCATCTTTCCAGGTCTTTGATAGTGTTCACACTGACAGTGACAACTCTGAGCACAAGTCAGAAGGTACCAGCTGAGGACAGTAGAAAATCTCAAAATGTTCCTTAGTGAAAAGCAGATGTTGAAGTTTCCAAGTCACTGGAATTATTTGGGATAATATTGTACCATAATTTGTATAGGCATAAGCAAAATAAGTCATTTATTCCAATGTCCCCAAACAAGTGCTATTAAAGCTTCTTTCCTTTAATAATTTATAAGGCAGGATTTACATTTTATGAGGAAACATTAAAACGTCAATATTGACTAAATTCTTTATAAATTGCTTATTTTCTTCCATTAAAAGATCATGGCAAATCTGACTGATTAATGATAAGAAACATGTTCCACTTCTTTTAGTATCCACAGTACAGTACCTCTCTTGCACACTTTTTCTGTTATTCTGACCATGTGTTTTTCTCATAGATTCTAATTCTGTAAGACATTTTGGTATTTCTCTTGTTAAGTGAAGTAACAGTCAGTAAAGTAAGGTCAAAACAAACTTGTACTCTTTTATGTTTGCTACATCTACTTTCAGTTATAATGAATCCTCTTAATTCCTATGACAAACCTTCATTAAAATTATAATTGAATTAAAATTTCCATAGATAAACATATCTCAACACAAAAAGCAGTTCATGACTGTATTGTGTGTCTCTGTGTGCCAAAGACAATTGCACAAGAGCAAGGGGTATATATTGCAGGAGGAGCCCATATGAGGGAGCCCTGCAGCTTTCTTAAAAAACATTTATGTGACTATTTTCCTTGGAAGAATTTCCTTTTTTACGTGTTCACCCCTCACAATATTTTGTGGGTTGACCTCTGATGTCTAAGTCTGGTTCTGCTTTGTATCGTTTGTCTCTTTGTGTATTGCTTTCTCTGTCTGCTCCTTTGCTTTAGTTGTTTTCCCTGCTCATTTTGCACTAAAGCATCTATAGTATTATTTTGGTCTTTAAGGCTATGACCCAAGGCAAGAGCAATATGCAATCTGAGCATTTGAAGTGCTATGAAAATATAGACCTCAGTAAAACAGTCATGACTTACTTTCAGAAGTCAACCTGTAGTATTAAAAAATTCATTAAACACACAGGGATTCGGCTCACAAATTCATGGTTTCTAAGGGAAGAACTTGTACATTCTCAAAACAGTTGTTTTTGCTGTTTTGAAAAACACCTTCCTTCTCATCTGATTAACACCTCAGTGAACTCCTGTGGTGCTGGGACTATGATACTCCTTTTCCTTGCAGCAGCATGTGAGAGAAAAAAAAAAAAAAAAAAAAAAAAAAAGGTGTTTTCTCAGACTGTATGCCTCTATAAACCATCCCCAACCATGTTCTTAATGGATGTTCTTAACTATCACGGCCACAGTTATGTCTTTCCTTGGCATTGTAATATGTATAAACTACAAAATGAAAATCCAGTTTCCTTGGTAAATCTCTTGATGCATTGGAGATATGTGACAACTTTCCAGACTATTTGCAGGATCTGGGTCAGTTTTGTAAAAAGAAACAGAAACCCCAGGCTATCCTTAAATCTAATAAGCCAAGTAAAAAAAGCAATTAATATTCTAATCTTTTGTATTTTCAAGAATATTCAATAATATTATATCTTCATGAAGGATATTTTTTAAAAATACTTATGTTGATGGATTTGTTTTTTTTATTATTTTTATTTTTTCGGTGTGGAACCCTTCAGAAGGCACTAGTAGTTCTGGAGGTTGGCAAGGCAGAGCTGCCAGCACCTCCATCTTCACAGGTGTACCATGACTCTGATGCCTTTGGTAGAAAGGCAGGGCAGAGTCTAGTCAAGGATAGTGAAAACATGGGCATAGACCTCAACTCCAACTTCTCTCTACTTCAGTCAGTTAAGCGAAGTCCTGAGTGACAATTGGCATACAACCTTTTCTTCCCTCCAAGACCAAACACTTCATCTACTACAATACATGGAATTCATCCAATTTGCTCTAGCACATGGCCCCACCATCCTGCCTGCATGTTCTCAGCTCCGACCTCCCAGTTTGCATGGCAGTGTGTAGTGGTTGAGCCTGCCCAGCCAGCTGGCTGGGGTGAATCAACAAGCTGGAATTGACAAAACATTTTTCCTGACATATTTAGAATATTTCACGAGGGAGAAATCCCTTGAGATTCAACATCTGATTCTTCAGACTGCCCTGGGAGATTAAAATGAAGGAGAAGGCAACATTAAGTCATGTATATTCTGATTAAAAACAAACACAATGGGTCAGATTCCATCCTCGATTGCAGCCACACTGAAGTCTCTGTGGTTGCAGAGAGTAAGTGAGGACAGAGTTTGACCTGGTGCCTTGAAACAAAAATAATATAAATGATAGGCAAGCACAAACATGACTGTAAAGCTGCAGCATGCTTCATCTGAGGAAACCCGAGAGAGAAAAAGATCTTATATTGGAGAGATTTAATTCCTCAAAGATGAATGAAGATGAGAAATAATTACTTACAAAAAGTCAGTTTGTAATGACAGAGTAAGGTGGATTTTTGTCATCTGACAGCTATGCATATTGTGTGGCAAATTATTAAATAAAGATTGCTGCTCCAGCAAGTTGCTTTCAATTTGAGAAGATGAAGCCACTAGGATAATCTCTACCCACTAAAAGAAAATTGTTTGTTCACACTATGACCACACAGAAGGCCCTACTCGCCAGCAGAATTTGCCTGCAAGATGACTTATTTAAGGAAGAAGCATCTCCATACCTGTTCAGTGAACACAGCACCGGCAGGCTGAAGGCACGCAGACCTCTGCTGACTCTAGAGGAGTCCTGTGCTGATGAAACAAGAAAAGAGATTTCATGCGCTCTTTTGTATCTCTATCCTTTTAGCTTTCTGTCCTGAAACTCTGACAGAAGTTGGAGTTTAAAGATCTCTCTTTATGCACCCACAAGAGCTCTTTTATAACTCTTCAGTAGTAGCCCAGATCCAGATAGGCATGCAAATCATGTGCACTGATGCCTAAGAGATAGAAATCACAGAAACAAAAAGAAAGTTTCCATGTTTCTAAGCCTTGTCTGTGACCCAAGTGGGCCCATCCTGAAGCTCCTGTGTAGTCTCTTGTCTGTTTACATTCATACCCATCTGCTAGCATGGCACTGAACCTACTTACCACATAGTCCATCATTTTCACCAGAGCCGATGATAGATCTGAAATGGCAGCCTGCATGACTTTATAAAAGGCTGTGATTTACTGCGTGTCCGCACATGTAGTGTCTTTGGAGTTCTGTGTAGTATCATCCTATCTGCTTAATCTCACTGTCCAAGGGTTAGGATTTTTTGTTTTGTTTTGTACTTTCTAAGCGCCTGCTCTGTCATCTGTGTACCACATTGCACTCCATATTCATCAAGGATATTTAGCTCTCGACAGGGTGAGTGCTTTAAGACTCTAAGATTTCTATCAAAGCCCTAGCTCTTCTTAAAGCAAGAACTTGCATTTACCTCATACATGAAAAATACATGTTTTTCTCAGGGCCTGCCAGCTCAGCAAAGACAGCTGACATCTTTTTTTCTTTATAGTTTGGTGTCTTGGTTCATCCTTACTAACAGCCTCCAGAATTGTACTTTAATGAAGGGACAATTAGACCAAGTCTATGGCAAATGAGAAAACAAACAAACAAACAAACAAAACCACTAATCTATAATGAAACCCCTCTAAAAATTCTCTGTTTATGAAAAAAAAGGGAGTCCAACAGTTCTGCAGCAAGGGAGAGGAAGTTATACAGTCAGTCTTTAAATATTTTCTTTGGTTTCAGTGTGACTCTGTGTGAAACTTTAGCTTCTGCTATATTTTCATCATCACCAAAACAGAAAAGAATTGAAATTTTTGCTCTGGATCATTTTACCTATGTCACTAGAAAGTTTCCAAGATAAGGACCCCACTGTGCACTGAGTATACTCATGGTGGGAGGTAATCTCAGCTGCAAAGTACTTACCACTAAATAGAAGAGAAAAAGGATGGAACACAACTAAATATTGAAATATTCAGGGTCATGGAACAAGGTACTGAATGCATTTCCCCTGCTTTCTTACCCTGTTTCTTACATTATGGTTACACATTGCTATTCTGAGAGGAGCAAAGCTGTCCTGAAATTGCTCACCTGGAGGAGGCGAGAATCCCATTGATTTCAGCTGCTAGAGGGTGCTGTCCTGAAGGGAACCACCCCATAGTAGGTCTTTCACTTTCTCTCATCTGATACTGCCTATGACAAGCAGCTGCATTCAAAGTGGGATGTTCAAATCTTGTGATACCATCCCCTTCCTCACCAGCCAGCAGAGAGATGTGTAAACTGCAGAGGAGAAATATGCCTCCCCAGAGCTGCAACCAAACTCACCATGTCTCTGGAGACCATCAAAGGTCAGACCATCGCTTTGCCAACGCATAATGCAGCTACTGGCATACAGTCAAAATCTGGCCCCAAGAATGCTATACAAATAATACATGAGCTTTTAAACTGTGGGGTTCATCCTCTGTATGCATGCAAGAAATTGGAGAAATGGAGGATAATTAATAATGTTTGCATTGTTCCATGAGGAGGGATGAGGACATGGCTCCAAGAGTGTTTTCAAAAACTGTTCTTAAAGATGTCTTCTGCAATGCTAGTCTCTTGGCCAGCTCTCCATGAAAGAGCCCATGTAAGTATTGTTAGTGCTGTTAAGCCAGCCCTGCACTGAATAGACTAGTTAGGAGACAAGAAAACAAAAGGCAGTGAAATGCAAACAACCATGTTAAAAGAACCATATTAAATGGATGAAGCCCCAAAGTTTCCAAGAAAATGTCTGTTTTAAGAAAGAAAGAAAGAAGGAAGGAAAGAAAGAAATAAAAAGAAAGGGAGGAAGGAAAGAAGAAAAGAAGGAAAGAAAAAGAAAGGGAGAAAGGAAGGAAGGAAAAAAGGAAGGAAAAGGAAAAAAGGCTTATCAATTCTGAAACAGCTGCTGTGCAGACCCAGTTCCCATCTATACTGCAGATATACAACTTCCTCATTGCTCATATTTCCCTCATCTTCTTGGCTGGGAAATATGCCTACCACTGGCCTGAGGTTTGCTGCTAAAGAAGCTTTTGATTATTCAGTTATTCTTGTATATTGCCCTCCTTGCAGACATAGACGTGAATGAGAATAGTAGAGCCAAGGCCAGAGCTTCCTGCCTGTTGATAAGAATCAGAAACTGGCATTTATGTTTAAGTCAAAAGAAATCGGGTAGGTATGGTGTCAGGAAAAGTAGACCTACTGGTGTCACTTTAAAGTACAGGAAAAGAGGAATAGCTAAATTTGTTTTACATTATTATAAGGGTTTTTTCTTTGTGATCCTGAAAACTGATGTAATGTCTCTGTATGCCAGCCTCAAGTGCCAAATCTAGCCACAAATTATGGGATAGATAATAAGAGAATTACCATTTAATAGTCACATATCAACAAACTGTCAAATAAATGATGAGAAAACCTCCAGGAGAGGCATCTAGGCTTCTCAGACTAGCTGAAGACACATGTATTCTCACCACCACTACGTCCCTCAACGATCCTTCTGACAACAGGCAGGCACCAAGCTGGTTGAAGAGTCTTCACAGTCTATACAAAATACAGGTTTCTCAATTCCTGAAAGCTGTGCGGTGATTTTTGAAGTATCAGTTCTCAATGCTGACCTGGCTTCCTCAGCAGCAGGGCTCTCTGAAAGTGGCTTTCAATTTGACTGAGTGTTTTATCTGCAAAATACCTATGTTTTGAGCTGCCTATGAGAGAAAAATATAAGATCTCACCACATTTTGCCACCAAACTGTGGTGAACTCGGTTTAAAACTGCATTAAATCTCTAAATTGGTTGTTTGCCGTATATAGCACAGAAGAACTAGACAAAACAACCAGATAACTTACCTTTTGGCATTAATAGAAGTGTTAGTGCCATAGAACAAGTTATTCTCCTGTTGATTTGTGACAACAGTACAGATTTGTAGTAAATCCAAAACTCAGTAATAACTTCACAGATTCACCCTGGGGTAGAAGATAAAGTACACCTTGTTCTGACACAATGTAATCAGAACTGGTGACTATGCTGGGGCTCCTGGGTGGACTCTCAGTAAAGTCCCTCTGCAAAGCAGAGGCAGGAAGAGCTGGGAATATGACACGATCTGAAATGAGTGTGGCTGTGTGTTTGCATGTGCATGCATATATCTGTACTTATCTGTATCTCGTCATAGCTGATATCCAGTAGACAGCACGGTATGCTTTCCTCCAAAATCCTACAAATAGAGCTCTGCTCTGGTTGTGAAGAACAGCTCATGATCCCAGAACCATCTTCTGTGTTTAATGGTGTGATGTATCTCCTATAGGTATGAAAATGCATCTGGAAAAATCACATTAATGCTAGTTTTACTTAGAATTAGAATATTGATCAAAGTTAGAGGTTAGGCTCGAAAAATACATATCTGGTTTGTCAAAATTTCTTCACCAAATTTTCCTGTTGGATTCTTTTGCTTGTCAGCTTACTGGCTTGAGTCTACAACTATTTTGCCTGTTGAAATTGAGCTAGACCCAGTTTGCTTAATAAAACTGGCTGTAAGAGTGGCAAATTGTTGGTACTCAAAAGTAATGAACTTTGGTGTTCTACAGGCTTTTTTTCATACTCTAGTCAGATTTAGCTGGGACACACAGAGATATTTTTTCTCTGTAGGGACACCTATTGTCATTAAGCTTACGGAAATGAAATTGTCTCTGAATCTTGGTAGAAATGGAAATTATTAGGAACAAGAGAAGGAAAAAAGATAATATAGCTGTAAAAGCTTCCCTTCCACAAGAAACCAAGCTAAAAGTATTTGTTAAAAGTTGCTAAGACAAATAAAATAGTTTTATTGCTTTTCCAAGCACCAAAAAGAAAATAATGTTTAAGCAATCATTTTCCATCTGCCTGTTCCTCATTTCTTTTCCTGCCAATACTGATTTTCATAAAAACTTATCAGGAGGATGAGTAGCTTCTCAACAGTCACTCCAAAACCAATGAAAGCCTGTATGCTAGCACGGGTACGGCTTTTGTCTGCAGTGCCCACTGCTCTGGGATGTGGTGACAAAAGCTAACACGCTTCCTCTCACTAGCGAGTGGAGAGCAGCTGCTGATAAAGAGGATCATACCCTGGGAAGGGAATGAGTTTTTAAGTAATCTGGGCAACGACAGGCTTGAGGGCTCTGCAGCTTGTAAGCAGCATGGACGCTCGCTGACCTTGCTTTCTTTGCTTCATTTCACCTGATAAATGACTGTAGTGCACTGGGAGTATGGGTCTCCCCGCCCACGGCGGTGCAAATCACTTCAGTGAAGGGATAATTGAGTAAGTGAGAGGATTTGCCCAGAGACCTTTCACATGGTTGCAGTTGCAAAGGGTAACCACTTCCTCAGCCTGTCTGGCCTCTGAAAGGTGACTCAAGCGGGGATCAATGCAGGCACTGACAGAGCAACAAGAAAGGAAAGGAGAAAACCCCTCAGCTAACAACGAGCATGCAGACCCATGGCTATAGCACACTGGCCAAGTGTGTGGTCACATCAAGCCAGCTTTGTCTGAGTGTGTGTAGACACAGCTCCTATTCCTTTGTCTGGGGAATCACAGGCAGAAATACGGCAGACGTATTTCTGACACACCATACAGATGGCCAGCACATGTGTGCTGTGTCTGAGTGCATCAGGCTTGCTGGGCATATGCAGATAGCTCTGTGGGACATGCAGAGGCAGGCCTGGATGCTTGGCAGCATCAGGAAGCATGAGGGAATGGAGAAAGAGAGAGGGCCTGCAACTCTCCTACACATCTCTGTAAATTAATGTTCTCTAGAAATCACTTGAAATTGTGTTACAAATGCAGGTATGCTCTCACACTGGAACAAACTGAGTGTGAACCCACCTGTTGCCCTCGTGGTGAAGGTGGTGGTGCACACCTGTGCTCGTGCTGCCTGGATTGGACAGTGGAGGAAGAACCAAGGTTTATGCCATGAGTTACTTGAGCAGAAGCTCTGGGGTTCATTTTTCTCAAAGTTTGGAGGTGTAGCATTTTGTATTTGTGGTTTGGTTGGTTGGTTTGGTTTGTTCATTTGTTTTTGGGGGAAAAATAAATAAATAAATAAATGATTGTCTTGTAATCTACTATCTTCATGTAGGAAAACTAATTTTAGTGTTTTTTTTTGTTGTTTTTTTTTTTTTTGTTTGTTTTTTGTTTGTTTTGTTTTGTTTTGTTTTTGGTTGTGTTTGTTTGTTTTGTTTTTGTTTTGTTTTGTTTTTTTTTCTAGACTCAAGGTGATCTGGATGTAAATCAAAAAATGCTGCTCAGGATCCAAGCTGAATAGTTCAGGTTTTAATACTATAATAGACAGTTCAATGTGAAACCAAAACAAATATTAAACCTTGGAAGCTGTATAAAATGGAATTGTCATCATCTAGTCAGTTTTTGTTTAAAGCACCTTGAGTCCTAGTGAAGACAATAAGAAATGAAAATGCTGAATTATTTCAGGATTCAGCCTATAGCAGTGCAGGACACACTCAGCACAGGCTGCTGATTGTGGCCATTCTTCATGGCAGTCATTCATTATATTCAAAGGTAACTTAAACATGTGCCAAAAACTTTGGAGAGACTAGTTCTTGAAGAAATGGGCTCCAGAACAAATCTTTACATTAATGATAATGCTTTAGAATAAAATATTTTTTGGTTCAGACCATGCAAACACGTGAGTCTCTCTTTGGCTCTCACATTTTAAAGAAAGAGATTAAATTTAAGTTTTATGAAAATTAATGCAAGTAATTAAATGCTAAAACAATAAAAAGTTTATACTGTTACAGCTCATGAAAATTCATAAGGAAAGGTGAATGTGTCCAGAGAGTTTTTAATAAAGACTTGATTCTGTACACACATTTGTGCAAGTAATTTTTAATCATTTGATAGATCCAAATAGATCAATAGCTCTATTCCCAAAGCAGAACTGATTTGCATGAATAATATAATGAATTTGCAGAAGATGAGGTATGCTTTTATGTTTATACTAATCTGTAGTAATAAGGCTTACCTGTGGCTTGACAATTTCTTCAGAGTCATTTGACGTTTCTGAATATGTTGTCTTTTTTTCTGGAAAACACTGAAATCACAAAGTCATAAAGAGAAGTGTAGATCAAGACTGGAAAACAGCCACAGGTCTCAAACTGTCAAAACTGTCAATGGTTCCAGAAGATTTTCATCTTAAAAATGCCAGGTAAGTTTTTTACCAATCATTCTATATAGTAAAATAATTAATTCACTGTTTTATTAACATCACCTTAAAATAAATAGTTTGCAAGGGCTAAAACAAAGATTGATGCCCTTTAGTTGATCGATGAAAA